AGTTAAAATGCAACCCTCTGCCCTATTATTCCCAGGAATAAACATGCTCAATTCGTATTTCCCTCACTGTATGCCTTTATATTTTTGTAAAAGTGACATATTAGCTTTGTCCGAAGTCGCATGCTACCCATGCAGTTAATTAATTTTAATTTAACCATACTTTACGACCTTTGATAGATTCAGATGTAATACATCCGCCATGTTGCCATTATAATATGACCTACCCTCATAAGTTATGCCACTTTATTCGCATTCATAATGTCTCAAGTACCGCTTATGGTATAGTAAAGTGTTCATTGGGTGATCACTTCAGAGTCTACTGGTTTACTGAAATAATGTTTTTCAAATACTATGAATTTCGACATCATACTCAGTACTCAGCTTACATACTGTTTAACACAAACAGTCGGGAACTATGTAATTTCAGACACACTGATTATACTTTAAATATGTAAAAATATTATCTGTCTACAACTTTTTTTAGAAATATATGCAATAACAATAAAACTTCAGTATGAAAATAAAATTATAATAATGATGATAGTCATTCATAAGTTGAATGATTAATACATGTATCTAAAAGTTATATTTTAAATCATATTCAGTATGTGTGTAAATATTTATACATAGATTTTAGATATATAAAACAAATCCTTAAGTCATTTTCTTTTCGGCGTAGTCCCTTTATTAGTCTGGGGTCGCGGAATGATCCGTCAACTTATCCAGCACGTTTTACGCAGTGAATGCCCTTCCAGCCGCAACCCATCTCTTGGAAATATAAAACAAACATTTTAATTAAAAAAAAAAAAAAAAATATATATATATATATATATATATATATATATATATATGAATATGAAAAATTTAATAAAACTTATAAAATGATATACATTTAAAATGTCAAAAATGTCAATTTTAATGTATAATAAAATTATTACAATTCTTAGTTTAGAGCATTTTGAATAAAAGATTTTTTTGTTTGTGTAAAATGGTTAAATATGTGCTTAACGGTGTAAAATGATATTAATAATGATAGTCATTCCTAAAAGTATAGTTAATTAATAAGATATGGTATTGGTACATCTATCTATCTATCTATCTATCTATCTATCTATCTATCTATCTATCTATCTATCTATCTATCTATCTATCTATCTATCTATCTGTCTGTCTGTCTGTCTGTCTGTCTGTCTGTCTGTCTGTCTGTCTGTCTGTCTGTCTGTCTGTCTGTCTGTCTGTCTGTCTGTCTGTCTGTCTGTCTGTCTGTCTGTCTGTCTGTCTGTCTGTCTGTCTGTCTGTCTGTCTGTCTGTCTGTCTGTCTGTCTGTCTGTCTGTCTAATTAGATTTGTTTAGATTTATTTTAATTGTACACAACCGAAACACAAGTTAAACTGTTTCGGTATTAGGATTTAAAGGGAAAAAACTTGATACTATTATCTTTTTTAATTGCTCATTTGAAAAACTTTCTGAGATGTTGGTCTTTCCCCAAATTTCCTGAAACTTTGGCCTCACAGAAAGTTCTTGACCCGTGTGGATAAAGAAAACCTCTTCACAGTGGACCACTTCCCCATTTGGTATCGGCTGGCAGCGGAGAATACACCTGGTCAATTCCTCTTTTACGTCCCATATGATGACATAAACAAAGGTGCATGAACACTCATTATGAAGAGGACTGGAAGTGTCACATTTGCTGTATGAGTTACAGTATCTTATGGCTTCTGATTTCTGTCCAACAGGCAAGAACACTTTTGTTGCAGTAACATCAGTGACAGTGACTGAAAGGAAAAGAACAGCCATTGCTGGAGGTCAGACATTTATCTGCCATTGTTTCTGTTCTGAAATCTGACTGTGAAGTTTTCAATGTGATATTTTATATCATATTTGCATTTCTGGGGTCTAAAAGTGTGATCGTAATTTTTCTCTAGTGCTGTCTAAAGTTAAGCTTTTAAAAACAATACTTTTTCATGAATAAAACTGTTAGGTATAATCTTTATAGCATGTCAAAATATACATTTTATTATATGATTAGATGAGTTGGCATTTCTGTGTGGAGTTTGCATGTTCTCCCTGTGTTGATGTGGGTTTTCTCCTGGTGCTCTGGTTTCCCCCACAGTCCAAAGATATGCGCTATAGGTGAATTGAATAAACTAATTTGGGCATAGTGTTTGAGTGTAAATGAGTGTGTATGGATATTTCCCAGTACTGGGTTGCATCTGGAAGGGCATCCGCTGTGTAAAACATACGCTGGGTCAGTTGGCGGTTCTTTCTGCTGTGGCGAACCCTGATGAATAAAGGGACTGAGCCGAAGGAAAATAAATAATTGAATGAATAAATTTCTCAATTCAGTTATAGAGTTTTAAATGATAGATTTTTTTTGTGTGTGTGGGTGTATTTTTACTTTTTTTATCTTGACCAAGTCAGAATTGTATTAACGTTAAAACAACAAGTAAGAAAAAAATTGCTGAATTACAATAAATTTAGGCTTTTTTAATACATTTGATTTTATTTCAGTACATTACAGTACATTTTAGTCATTATTTTTTTGTATTTCAAGTAACAAAAATTGCTCGTTTTAGTTGATTATAACATCCCTCATAGACAAATCCATTTAAATTACTGTATGCAAATTTTAGAAAAATATACCGTTTAATATGATGGTTAACAACTGATCGATAGCAACCATAACAAATTACATTTTTGTCTGTTTGGAGAATTAATACGAAAACATTTTACAATTGTACAATTTCAAATGAGCCGTTCATAGTGATTACAGTAAACCTTTTCTTCTTCAGCAGAACACTAAAGGATATTTTTAGCTGAAATTTAAGTCCTTGGTGATTCAAAAAATGTTTTTTAAAACATTTCTTAAACATTTCTATTCAGTTATTTAATGCACGTCCAGTTTTTAGACAATGTAATAACGTTATTTTTTGGTTCTCAAAATTGTTCAGTCTCATACTATATTCTTTCATTCATTCATTTTCCTTCAGCTTAGTCCCTTTATTTTTCAGGGGTTGTCAAAGCGGAATAAACCGCCACCTTATTCAGCATATGTTTTACACAGCGGATGCCCTTTCAGCTGCAACCCAATACTGGGAAACATCCATACACACTCATCTCCACACATACACTATTGTCAGTTTAGTTTTTTTTCAATTCCCCTTTGGACTGTGAGGGCAACCGGAGCACTTGGAGGAAACCCAAGCAAACATGGGGAGAATATGCAAACTCCACACAGAAATGCCAACTGACCCACTCGGGGCTCGAACCAGCAGCTGTCTTGCTGTGATGGATTATGCTGAACCACCCTCATATTATATTAATATTCTTAAAACCTTGTTAAAGATGTCATTCGAACATTCTGTCCAATTTTAATGAGCGTTATAGAATGTTCTGAAAACATTATCTGTTAGCAGGGTCAGTGACTACAGGCATTACAAGAGTCCAAAAAACCTAATAAAATAAATGTAATACCCAAGGCTCCTAATGATACATTGAGGCATTATGGAGTAAAGTTAATGGTCTGTGTAAGAAACTGAACATTAGGGATTTGGGGAAAATATCTAATTATGATTTGTAATTTATTTAGTTTTTCTTACAACTGTTTGATTGTTAGGTAAAAAAGGAACTGAAAAGATATTAAATTAAACATTTATTCAAATTTGTTTTTAAATATTTAGAAATGAAGCAGAATCTTTTTCTCTAGAGCAAACAGTAAACACAAATAAAATGACCTTACCTTTCTGTAAAGAAGTTGAACTCAAATTAGGGAGATAATGTAGCTTATTATAGAAAAAATACATATAAAAATACACTCATCAAACACATGGCTGAAACAACTCTGAAATTGTACTTTGCTGTTGCTTGCTACTGGATTGAGTGCCACTGGCAATACTTTTAGTTGACTTTTTAGCAAGACACTACTCATCTTCAAAACTCACCTTACTACTCTCCTCAAAGCCTGTGGTGCTTTTTTAGGTGCTGGTTGCTGTATTTCTTTTTGCTGTGGCAACACTTCTGTGACAGCTCTACCTGTTTTTGTTCAATGTCTGTGTCTTTGAAACCAAAATATTTTCACATTACCAATGTTCTGTTTTTCTTTGAAATTCATCTATTAATGCTTCTGAAGCAGCAGATGCGATTAACCCACTTGTCCCTGCTTTCCTGTTTGTTTTTATTGTGGGCGTTCCGCAAAGTTCGGTTGCACAATTCTGATTGGGCAGAAGGAGAGTGAGCTCACTCAATTGGCCAATAAGAGTATCACTCACAGACGACAGTCACACATTTGCTCTGGGCAGGGGAAATTTAGCCTACCCAATTCACCTGCACCGCATGTCTTTGGACTGTGGGGGAAACCAGAGCACCCGGAGGAAATCCACACGAAGGCAGGGAGAACATGCAAACTCCACACAGAAACGCCAACTGAGCCAAGGTTTGAACCAGCAACCCAGCGACCTTCTTGCTGTAAGGCAACAGCACTACCTACTGCGCCACTCCCTCTCCCATTAAAAAATACATATATATTTAAATCACAGCCTCTTGCGATTAGCTAATTGCAACACACCAAATTGTGATTCGTTTTTGATTAATCGCACAACTCAACAGAACATTATTCACTAATTTTTTCAGTTTAATCCAATTTAATCATCAGCAAACCGTCCTTTGAGTGATGCCTGGTTCACGTCCAAATGATTCTTTTGAACGAGTTTGATAAATTGTAAGGTGTTCAATTTCTTGCTCAAACCATTCATTTAGCTTCTTGAGACTTTAGTGTATTAGTTTTGTTTTACTATATATGTTTTTGACTCTCAAAGTGATGATGTTGACTTGCATTTTATGAATCACAAAGAACCACAGCTTTAAAAGAAATTCTTGCTGCTTCAATTTTTTTGTTGAATCAAATTAGCTTTTCAAGTCATCTTAACTTACTAAAAATATTAAATTAAACATTGTATAACTTAAAAAAACATTGAAACCTGATTAAATTATGAAAAATAAGTTAAAGCAACATACAAAATATTTGTATATTCGTCATTACATTTTTACAGTGTACATTTTAGATGACTTGAGTCAAATAAACAGCTTTTCAGATGAACAATCCCTTAACCAACCAACTAGTAATTGCTTTTAACATACACTGAGTCATTTGCCCTCATGTAATTTATGTAGTTGTTCAACAATAAACCACAGTCTCCCTTAAACACACACTTCCGGAGGAAATGCCATCCACCCCACACACTCCATAGCTTCGGCTCCCTTTCCGATGGTTGGCATCAGATCCTCTTTTTCATCGTGTGCTGGTTCTTTCTCCACCATGAGTGGCTCTTGCTGCTGGCGCTTTCTCTGCAGCATCTGCTGTTGTTGATGAGCCACCAGCGTGGCGTAGATACAGCCGTACGTGGCCGTCACCACCATCAACACACACACCACGCTGCACACCACACCCGCCACCACCACTGTGGCCGTGGCTCGACGCACGCTCACGGCCCGGTAGCGCTGGCGCATACAGTCTCCTGACGGCCCCTGGTGGGCCTCTGGGGCGGATGGCTTTCTGGTTTGGAGCTGCAGGGGGTAACAGTGTCTGAACAACTCCATTGGGAGACTGGCAAGATCTTTACCCTGCAGGTCAGTTGGAAACGAGCAGTTGGGGGAATCCACACGGCCACCTGCGGAAGAGGATGACATTATTTAGTTTTTTAAAAAATGTTAATCATAAATCATTAAAAATTATCTAATAGTTTAATTTTGAATGCATTCTGTGTGGGAAATAGTTGTATCATGTAGAGTATTTGAGAACTGTAACTTAATTGGTTGAATTATGTTTAATTTCTGCTGTATTTCATAGTTTAGTATATTTATTAATAATCCATATTGAAACATTTTTGACTGATAACTGATAAATGGCTTGTAACTGAACAGTTATAGTAATTAAGGATTTTTTTTGGTCTAAATAAATTGAAAATAAAACATTAAAGATAGTATTTTTTAAATTTTTCATACACTCAAATTGATGTTTGCTGTTTGTTCAAACTATTTATTTAAAATGAGCTGAAACAAACTATCTTAGTGCTTTTTCAGGCAACTTAATTATTTTATGTTCAATCCACTTAAATTTGCAAAAAAAAAAAATCTATTAAGGTAACTTAATACCTTCATGTTGTCCCAACACAACTCGATTTTGTGGAACCCAGCTGTTTTAACCGTGCATCTTGATATTATTGGTATTGATTTTGCTGGATGGATGGATGGATGGATGGATGGATGGATGGATGGATGGATGAACATTAGTATACTGGATGGATGGAGAAATGCAGTGTGATGGATGGATGGATGGATGGATGGATGGATAGACAGACAGACAGACAGACAGACAGACAGATAGATAGATAGATAGATAGATAGATAGATAGATAGATAGATAGATAGATAGATAGATAGATAGATAGATGGATGGATGGATGGATGGATGGATGGATGGATGGATGGATGGATGGATGGATGGATGAACATAAGTATACTAGATGGATGGATAAATGTGTAGTGTGATGGATGGATGGATGAATAGACGGACGGACGGACGGACGGACGGACAAACAGACAGACAGACAGACAGACAGACAGACAGACAGACAGACAGATAGATAGATAGATAGATTAGACAGACAGACAGACAGACAGACAGACAGACAGACCGACCGACCGACCGACCGACCGACCGACCGACCGACCGACCGACCGACCGACCGACAAATGAGTTCCGCCAGTTACCAGCAGAGTTAAAGGACTTCTCTCACCTGTATATACGATCCATTCCAGCCAATACTTGAGAGGAATTAATTTGCAGTTGCAGTTCCAGGGATTTCCCTCGAGCAGAAGTTGCTGGAGAGCGTTGGCAGACTCCAGTGATGACCGATCAAGAGTTTTCAGCTTGTTGCCCACCAACGAGAGCCACAGCAGGTTCTGGAGCCCATCCAGTAGGTGTGTGGGCACATGGCTGAGGCTGTTTAAAGAAAGATCCAGACGCCTGAGCTCAGTCAGGCCTTTGAACTGAGCTGGGTTCAGTTCCTTTAGCCTGTTGTCTCGTAGAACCAGTTCATTTAGGCTGCTGAGATCAGAGAACAGGTTAACCGGGAGCCTCACAAGAAGGTTTACTGAGAGATCCAGGAACTCCAGGCTATTCAGATGGGAGAAACTGGAAGGGAAAACTCTGGAGAGAAGGTTTCTGGAGAGGTCAAGATGCAAAAGGCCACTGAGATTGGAAAAACATCCAGGGTTAATGGCAGAGAGAAGGTTTCTAGAGTAGTCTAGTTGTAGCAAAGCGCTGAGGTTGGAAAAGCTCCCAGGTTCCACAGTGGTGAAGTTGTTTTTGGAGAGGTTGAGATTGGTTGTGTCAAATGGAAGCTGCTCTAGGATGGAGTCCAAGGAAGCCAGTTGGTAAAGGTGACTGCAGTCTGTTTGGTTTATGTTGCAGGAACACAATAACGGACAACTTTTAGATGTTCCACACAGACTCACTAGGGTCATCAGACCTGATGAAACTGCAAGAAAATGAAGGAATTTAGGAAGCCATCAGATTTGAGATGATTAAGGGTACTTTAGAGCCATGATGCACCAAATCAAACTAACCGTTGGATGTCAATCAATAGCTATGTTTCCATCCAAAGATGTGAATTATATGTATGAATAACTAGAATATTGCATAAAACAATTGTAAATAAAGCAACATTTCCATCCATCCACCATCCATACAATGAGTTGAGAGTACAAAATCATCACTTCCTGATAAGCTGGTGCCAAATATCAAAAAGAATTTGCTGCAGTATGAGAAGCCATTGTGGACCTTTTTTCTTATATTATAAAAACTACTTCAGAAGTTGAAGATGAAACGCAATGATTATTTGGGTGCGCAGCCACTCACGACAGTTCTGAGAGGTAACGATAATAAACAATATCCAAACCCTCTTCATGACAGACTTTGATTAAGGAATTTTAGAATGACCAAAACCACATTTGAGATTATATGCAATGTGGTCAGTCCATTGGTTTGTCCACTCATGCCATCCCACAAATTATTTCTTATCGGATAAAAAGTTTATCCTACTCATTTGTGAGCATACTTTTTTATGCACATGACCAAAACTCTGGCTTTTACATTGAGCATCTTTTTATGCGATATTCCAAAACATGCATTAAGAAATAGGTGGATGGAATGATAGCTAGTTTCACTACCAGTGTGCCTGACTATTTTTCTACAATAATTTAACGTGGTTAAACACTGCTTTGTTTACAGTTTGTAAATTTGCAATCCTACTTATGATTTCTGAGTGGTGAATGATGATTTCTGCTAATGGAGAGAGTTAAATCATTACATGCAGATGCAGAACATGCAGCATGCAAGTTTGTAGGTGGGGTTTGTTGTGTTCAACTGATGTGATTTGTCGCTGCTGGCTCTTTGAGATCGCTGTGTTTATTAATAAGTTATAAAAATAAGGATCTTACTTAAGATGTTCATCCTGGTCCAGAATGTCCAACCTTTGGAGAGACATCCAGTGGTTTACAGCAAATCAATGCCTTCCTTCACCAGGCTGTAGTTAAAATCTGGATTTGTGCAATTGCTGCAATAATGGTAATAAAACAAAGCAAACACACTTAAAAGTTGATGTCTTTAGAAGCATGGGTCATTTTGTTCAGTATAATGCATGATTTTTAATAATAATTGACTTCAATTAGATTATAAAATACAATAGCCCTGTGAAGGCTGGACATTTATAACATCTAAATCTCTATAAAAAAAATATATGGCAGAACTGAAATGGATTTGAGTCTTCTGAAAGAAAAGAATGAGAATAAAAGGGAGTACTTTGTGTTAAAGTAGCCCAGAGGCCAATCGCTTATTCTAAAGAGCATCAAACCAAGTGAAAAAAACAACATTTTTGAGGTTACTAGAGGAAGTTTTCATCTGCTTTTATGCATTTACATTATTTTGACAATATTATGGGATAGATAGATAGATAGATAGATAGATAGATAGATAGATAGATAGATAGATAGATAGATAGATAGATAGATAGATAGATAGATAGATAGATAGATAGATAGATAGATAGATAGATAGATAGATAGATAGATAGATGATGGATGGATGGATGGATGGATGGATGGATGGATGGATGGATGGATGGATGGATGGATGGATGGATGGATGGATTATTGGTATTAATATTAGACAATATTATAAAAGAGGACTTATTAAAACTTTACTTAAATTAAATCATTAATTTTGCGATTAAAGTTGTGTGCCAAAAAACGCCCCTTATTTCCTCTTACTCTGTTTTGCCCATCAGATTTGTTGCATTACCCTATCAAGGATTAAGCAGTCCACACCATTAGATAATAAATCAAAGCTGAGAACAACATCCGCTTTATCGGTCAAAAGAGGATCAAATAGTGCATGCTTGGATGTGCACTAATCATAAAATATAATATTTCTTAAAAAAACAACATCATATATATATAATTTTTTGATTGCACATGATTGTTCTGTGCCTCTTAAATAGAAGTATAGAAATTGAAATAACTCATAAAAATTATATTTAAAAATATTAAAAGCATAGAACTACGTATTCCCTTATATTAATTTAAGTTCTATACTAAACCATTTTAATAAGTCTTAATGCTGAGTGCGCACAAACAAGGATATTGACGTAGTTAACCTAATCAGTCAGAAATTTCATATGAATCAGAGCATGAATTTACCTTATTGTAATCCTGTGAGATTTCATGATTACTCCTTTAAGCGACAACGAATGAAAGAAACAAGAGGAACTGCTGTTTGATTGAAGTCCAGTGTGTGTTTGAGCATCAGTAAAGAAACTGACTTTAGAAAAGCCTAATAGAGAGAGAGAGAGAGAGAGAGAGAGAGAGCGAGAGAGAGAGAGAGAGAGAGAGAGAGAGAGAGAGAGATTGATTCAGTAGGAACAGAAGAGATAAAGCATCAGCTGATAGCGCTTAGAAAATGGTCGCCTCTTACATTTTTTCATGACCCTTTGCTGTAGCTTATGATGGTTTGCATAGGAGGATTAATGGTGTCATATAGAGACTTAACATCAGTGTGTTGTCCTGAAAAATGTGAATGCATGGATCACTGTAAAATGAAGATTTCCAGGTGCTCAATTGAAAATTTGGGGTCAGGTTTTTTTCATGTTTTTTTTTTAAAGAAAATTATTCTCTTCATCAAGGTGGCATTTATTAAATGTAAAAAAAATGTTAAATTGTTAAATATTTATTAATTAAAAAACTGTTTTCTTATAGTTTGAAATGAAATTATTACTCCAGTCGTTATTGCTTTTATTACTATTACCATTAATATAAATAATAATAATAATAATAATAATAATAATAATAATAATAATAATTAATATTAGAGTGATTTCTGAAGGATCATGTGACTCTGAAGACTGGAGTAATGAAGCAGAAAATTCATCTTTAAAATTACTGGAATAATTGAATAAATTAAATGATAAACACTTATTTTATCGTGCAAAAACATTTCACAATTTTACAATTTGTACTGTATTTATGTCTGGTGAAATAAATACAGCCTTGGTGAGCAGGAGATGCTTATTTTAAAACATTTAAAAATCCCACTGACCCCAAACCTTTGACCAGTAGTACTAAATTTTTTGAATTGATAAAAATATACATTCTATCTTTAGTGATTGGATATTGTAATTATCCTTATATTTTAAAAAATACCAAAAATCTATTAAAATTGATTCATTTAGTTAGATTAATATTTTGAAAAATTTATGCAAGACCTTTTATAGAGTTAAACAAATTTGAGCATTTTTCTCAAACACATGCTTAAGAAAAACACAGAAAATTTTCAAATTGTCCCAATTTTATCAAACAAATCTCAACCATTTTTAAAATTTTCTTGTAATTCTTCATTAAACTACCTTTTTATTGGACACTCCTTTAATCTACACCAGGGATGTCAGACTCAATTCTTGGAGGGCTGCAGCTTGCACAGTTTAGTTCCAACCCTAATTAAACACACCTGATCAAACTAATTGATCCCTTCAGGCTTGTTTGAAACCTACAGGTAAGTGTGTTGGAGCAGGGTTGGAACTAAACTGTACAGGGCTGCGGCCCTCCAGGAATTGAGTTTGACATCCCTGATCTACACCCTTGATGCACACCCAACTTTTTTTTAATTAATCAGCATTTAAGATGAATCACGTTTAATATTTGCCAAGCGCTAATTACTATATTATATATGTGATTATATTAAATATGCATTGTTCTTTATGAACATTTTACGATTTTTTTATTTTTTCTCTTTTTTTTTTCATTTTCAGCTATTGGAATGCAGGCGTCTCTAGACGTGCTGGAGAGAATATTCATGTCTATTGCCAAACAAGTGAGTTTGACCTCAAAAATATTCACATTGAACATGTGTCAATCGTCATAATAAATGTAGATGCAGACTGCAGATGCCATCAGTCTAGTGGTTTTGTCCCGAAGGTCTTACATTAATGATGTTTATCAATGGCCCTTTCTAAATGGAGCTGTTTAGTTGCTAGTTGGTAATCAATTTTTATTCGATGTGAGCCACCGCATGACTTATAGTCTATTCTGAGGATTTTCTTAGGATTCTGAGGATTTTCTAAGGAATTTTATTCTTTGTAATCTGTTGAAATATGCAAACTAATATCTAAATGTTTTTTTTTTCTCTTCTACTTATTTTGTCCTGTCAGCCAAACGACACAGATGTAAGTACTTTATTGTTGTTATCACTGATTTTTAAATGTATTAAGAAACCAAATTGCATTATTAAGGCACATTCCACAGATATGGCACAATCTGGGGTTTTGTAACATTGTTGGATACATTATGTACATGTTTTTCTTCATGTCTTATGAACTCATTTGTGTAAAAAACAATTGATATTATAAATATATTTCGAGTCTCTAGTTAAACACGTCATGTTTATATTTCACATAAAATGTGATTTTTATGTTATTAGAATATTTATTTAGTATAATTTAGTATTTGTGTAGATGGATGGATGGAGATAGATAGATAGATAGATAGATAGATAGATAGATAGATAGATAGATAGATAGATAGATAGATAGATAGATAGATAGATAGATAGATAGATGGATGGATGGATGGATGGATGGATGGATGGATGGATGGATGGATGGATGGATGGATGGATGGATGGATGGATGGAAGGATAGATGTATGGATGAATGGATGGATGGATGGATGGATAGATAGATAGATAGATAGATAGATAGATAGATAGATAGATAGATAGATAGATAGATAGATAGATAGATAGATAGATAGATAGATGGATGGATGGATGGATGGATGGATGGATGGATGGATGGATGGATGGATGGATGGATGGATGGATAGATGTATGGATGAATGGATGGATGGATAGATAGATAGATAGATAGATAGATAGATAGATAGATAGATAGATAGATAGATAGATAGATAGATAGATAGATAGATAGATAGATAGATAGATGGATGGATGGATGGATGGATGGATGGATGGATGGATGGATGGATGGATGGATGGATGGATGGATGGATGGATGGATGGATGGATGGATGGATGGATTGATTGATTGATTGATTGATGCCCTTTAAATATATTTTTAATTAACTATACATTTAAGAATGACTATCATTATTAATATCATGATGTAATGATTTAGAAACTGTGTATAAAATCTAGTTTAACATCCTGAAGATGATCAATGTTTTCTGGCTTTTTAACCCACCATTTGTTGACAAAATAACTTAAGATTTTATAATAGCCCTTTATTTGTACCCTATTTTACCTTATGTCACAATAGAAACCAAAATAAGAAATTCACTATTAACTGTTTTATTTAAATTTATATGAATTTATTTTTAAATATTTAACTATTTTAGTTATTAATGCCAGATTATTTGCAAAATCATATGATTTCACTCATTATTCCTTTATTACACAACCTACTCACACAATCAATGTTGACTTTTAAAAAAAAATGTTAGATTTTCATACACTCAAAGCTGCTATGTCATAAAATAGCAGCACTTTCTTGTGAGATTGGGTTGCACAATATCTATAGCCTCCAGCTAATTCAGTCATTTCACCGCGGTGGTGTTTTCTGTATATAAGGAATCAAATGAAAAGTCCATTTACTGAAGGCTTTTTTTATCCTCTTTCAGTGCAATGATGTGGAGGGCATTTGTCCTCTCAGCTGCGAGAGCATTGTGAGTCCAGCGTCTTTGTGTTGTCTTTACATAATCTGTGAATTGTTGTTCTGATTCTGTTCATTCACGTGAACCGTTCACCAGAGTGAATTTTGATCAAGTTAAACAGTTTTTTTTTCCCCACAGGATCTCAACTGTTACCTTGTTGACAGTAATGGCTTCATACTGATGTCAAAGGATAGAGGAGATGTAAGTATATCATTACATGTCTTACATGGTGTTCACACTTGTAGTTTATTTTTTTCGTTTGATCAGAATCAAAGAGAAAATAATACATTCGGTCCTGGTATGCTTAGTGTTCGATTTTATGAATATAATTGGCCTGTATTATATATTTACATTAAAACATTACAATATACTGTGTACATTATACAATATTTTGTATTAGAAATTGTATAATATATAATAGGGCGATACGGTGGCTCAGCACTGTCACCTCATAGCAAGAAGGTAGCTGGTCCGAGTCCCAGCTGGGCCAGTTGGCATTTCTGTGTGGAGTTTGCGTGTTCTCCCCGTGTTGGTGTGGGTTTCCTCCAGGTGATCCGGTTTCCCTCACGGTCCAAAGACATGCGCTATAGGTGAATTGAATAAACTAAATTGGTCGTATTGTATGTGTGTGAATGAGTGTGTATAGATGGGTCACAGTACTTGGGGTTGCAGCTGGAAGGGCATCCGCTGTGTAAAACATAAGTTTTTTTTAAGATTTATTTATTGGATTTTTATGACAGTTAACAAACAAAAGTAAAAAAAAAAAAGACACACATTTTTTGTGCGACACACAGTATATGATGTGCATAAACAATATATGACGTGCATTAATTTTTCAAATTGAGCATATAAACAGGTCGGTACTGGAAGTTGAGGTTGACAGCATGGTGTATTAAGTAAAATAAACAATGATAATAAATAAATAAAAGTAAAGAAAAAATTAAAAGCGAGAGAAGAGGGAAAATATGTTAAACTAAACAGGCTGGGGGGTGGCACGTTCTTCAAACTTGTGGTTTTATGTCAAGAAAGAGTTGTATGCTTGTGTTATATCAGCAGCACTAATACTCATCTGGAAGGCACAGATCAAAACAGAAATGCAATATTGGCGATTATTCACTCCACAGTAACTGCCTCAAGGCTCAGAGATTTGACATGCTCCAAGAATGGCAACCCAATATTAGAAAATTTGACCACTGAACCTTAAAGACTATGTTTAGTTTTTTTTTTTATTTAAAAAAAGTTAGACATCTTTAATCCACTGAGTATGGGATGGGGGTTGAGGAGACTTCCACTGCAACAAAATGCACCGCCTAGCTCAGGGGTCACCAATCACGGTCCTGAGGGCCGGTGTCCCTGCAGGTTTCAGCTCCAACTTGCCTCAACACACCTGCCTGAGTGTTTCATGTATACCTAGTAAGAGCTTGATTGGCTTGTTCAGGTGTGTTTGATTAGGGTTGGAGCTAAAACTGCAGGACACTGGGCCCCCAGGAACAAGTTTGGTGACCTCTGGCCTAGCTAACAATGACAGAAAAGCTGTTAATTCAGAAAAATAAAATGGTAACCCACAGTCAGGGGGAAGAACTGCAAACAGGCCAATTAACGGAAAAAGATCAATATTAATAGATG